TCTCTCTCTCTCTCTCTCTCTCTATGAATTTGGGAATTAATTATTGTATTCATGTCTTAAAAAAGTAATGATTTTTAATAAATTACACTTTTGAATGTTTTTAAAAATGATTATTTAATTTTCCTAACATCTGCCTATCAATTTTTAGCATGCAAAGTACTCATTTAAATAATGTGCTTAATAATAAATATATTTGTTCAATATAATCAAAGTTACGTAAATCACATAATAAAACAATAAGCAAAAGTGGGTGCACATTCATAAGGACATACAGCTGTATAATTAATTATACATTTATGTAATAGCAAATTTTATATACACTATTACTATATAATAGATTTAACATTTTTGTATAAATATAATTTCTAATCATAACTAAACAATTTATTAATTAGATCAAGCATACAATTTATAATTATAAACATGCTAATTAAGGCAACCGTATTGTTGTTTATTGTGGCTATTCTATTGAGTTGAGTAGAAAATAGTAACTATTTTTATGAATTATAATTATAACTTTACCATGCTACTTTATTACAGCTGAGAGTATCGATGCTCAGGATATGAGCACAACTGCCAGTCCTAATGGTGGGGCTGGACGTAGTGGTGGTAGACCTGGTGGATCAAAGGGCAATGGAGCTGAGCCTAGTAGGGCAAAAATGGCCGGTGCTAACCATAAGCATAAATGATCAGTGTGCTATTAAATAATACAATTATGTTTTATTGTATTAATTAATTAAGCACATTTAAAGTGTAATAATTTTTATTTAAAAGTTTAAATATTTCTAAATTGCTATTGTAAAAATGTAATTACATTTATATTTAATAAAATTGGTTTATTATGTAATAAATATTAAATAAAAAATAATATAGTACTTATTGCGTAAAATAAAACATTAACAAAATAAATTAATTAATTAGTAATTATCCTTATTGTATTTTTAAAATTATTTAATCACCTTGTTTTATATAAAACTAAAGTTACTATCACTCTATACATTAAGTAGTTTTATTAGCTGTAGAAATTTTGACAATAGCATTAAATATCAAATTAAAATATAATTAATACTATAAAATCTAACATTTAACAAAAATTTCAAGCACGGTTAATTAATAAATCTAATTTTAATTCAACATGGAAATTAAAACTATGGCATTTGTATTTATATTGGTTATTGTGCTAAGTTTAGTAAAATTATTCATAGTTAATTTTGTAATTTACCAAAATGATATATTTAAAAACTTTTTATTATAGCAGTAACAATGTCTGGCCAGGCGACAACTCCCTGTCCTAATGCCGGTGTTGGTGGTGGTGACACCAATCAGGCAACCAATGGAACTGCCAAGCTCAAATTTCATAATCTAAAAATGGCCGGGGCTAATCAGAAACATAGATAACTTTTCATGGCTTATAAATGGGTTTAAAATTGTAATAATTAACTAATCAATTGCTAAAATGTTTTCAATAACTAATTGTTAATAGTAATTATAAGATTGCACTGTTTTCAATAGTAAATATTATAATTTATTTATATTACAGTTGATTAAAATTAATAAATTTTATTTTAAAAATTTGTACAAACTGTAAACAAACTAAAGAAAATTTATAAATTTATAAAACTTGATTTAATTTTTATATTAATATTCTATAATTTATTTTTACTAACTTTTTTAATAGAGAGAGAGAGAGAGAGAGAGAGAGAGAGATTAAATTAATTTAAACATATATTAAAATGTACTGAAATTTTGTTATTTTCAATATAAAACAATTAAATTCACGTTTGCATTTGTACACATTGACAAAAAATGTCATTATAATATAAATATAAATAAATTAGTACACTATTAATTATTTTTTACAAATACTTAATATAATATTTAACTTAAATTTAAATTATGCTACTGATATAAATTATTATAGTAAAGTCATTAAATACAAATTATTGAACTTTATATATTCAACAGATAATTAACTATTTTAAATATATTTTCAGAAACTTACTAGTTGAATATTTTAAGGTACATATTTGAGTGCGCGAAGTCCTTTTAATCGTAAAATAAAAAATAATTAAATCTAAATTTAAAACCACATGAATTCAGTTCAAACAAACCACCTATCCATAATAACCCACAATAATCTGCTGCACTTAAAAATCATTAATTAAAAACCCTAACAATTAAAATGTTTTGTAAATTAATTGTTATCCTATATGTGGTCATCCTAGTCATTAGTATTATTATTTTTTTAATCAATATATTTAATTAAAACTTTTAAAATTATTTTAAATCCAGTGCCGTAAATCCAGTGTCGGCTCATTGAGATAATGGATCAGATGGTGGTTCACAAGGCTGTACCTGCGCTGCCAGTGGTGGGAAGGGAAGGACACATTAACCAAGCTGACCTGGTTGTAATATCTGAATTTCTAAAAACATATTTTTTAAGTTTATATACTAGTAATTAAATGGTTGTTTTTAATTTTGTGTATCGCTTTAATAAAAATTAAAAAATATTCTTATTTTAATTAAAAATAAATCAAATATTATTATTCGTATAGACCAATACGACAGACAAATGAGATTTTTAAAAAAATTTTAAAATATTATATTAAAACAAATATTACTAAAATTCAAAATAACAAAATAACTCTTTAGCTCTTACAATTAATAATGAAATCAATTAATGTTTACATACCTTGACGGTCTAAAAATGTTAGTACAATTAAACTCGAGTACAGCTCATTTTTGCTTGCGCAAGTCTTTATGAATTGTAAATATAATTTGTCAATTAACCTTGACAATAGCAATATAAATATATCGACCTTAGTACAATAATTTCATCTAATTAGCTTACATAAAATAATATACTAATCAGCATAATGTTTGGGAAATCAATTGCTATCCTATTGGTGGTGATGCTAGTCATCAGTATGGGTATGATTTTTATCTTTAAATTTAAATCCATTTTAAAAATTATTTTTATTTTATATTTTAAGTGGCTGTCGATAACGCGGCTGCCATGGGTAACCAAGGATCAGGTGGTAGTGCCGGTGGTGTCCATCCCACCAAAGGCAAACATGGCGGCAATTTAGGTAATGGTGGTGCCAAAGGTGGAAACGGAGGCCACTAAATGTAAACTGACCTGGTTGAAAATTATTTTGATTTTGTTTTAATTATGTAATTGTTATGTTTTGCAATATAAATTCCAATAGATATTGTTAAAAATTATACTCAATGTAATATTATCTGTTTTATTTAAAAATAAATATTCTTTATAATAATATTATGGTAGACCAAGTTTCTTTTAAATACTACGGATTTATATTTTTAAAAATATAATACATTTATGTTATAATTATGGATTAAAAATAATGTAAATAAAAGTGGGTTGATGGTGATGTTTGTAAACAATATTTGCACCAATTATTTAATATTAATAAAAATTCAAATAATTAATTGAAATCTTATTTACTGTAATCTATTATACAATTGATTGCCAATAGTGTATCTATAAACTGAAGGATTCTGTCATTTGAAACAGTGTACGTACGAGTGAATGTAGCAAGGTATATTAGAAATTGTTAGTCATTTTTATCACTAATCTCTTGTAAAATAATTTTTGATAAAAATATATT